TTATCCAGAAATGGTTTCTTAAGGATTGATCAACTTAGGGCAAGAACTAATTCTTCCCATTGGGCCCGGTGGTCGATATTGTACAGGGTTCCTTTTTGGAGCAATGGAATTGATCTGGAATTATAGTGGTGATGGTTGCACAGCCTTCACTGAATGGTACACTTTAAAATGGTGACTTTTATGTTAAGTGAATTATATCTCAATAAAAATGTTTTAAAGCTAATTTATCTTTATATCTTTTCGTGTGTCTATGTGTCTGCACCAGGTAGTACATCTAGATGTGAGAGGCAACATGGTGAAACTTAATGATGGCTCTCAAATAACCTATGAAAAGTGCTTGATTGCAACAGGTGAGTATTTCTGGAGATGACTTTCTTCTCTGATATATAGCTCATTCAAGTTCTAGTATAGAAGGTATTACTTAATCTTAAGAAAACCAAAACCCAGACTCTCTGAAGTGGGTATCTATATCTTACGGCTAACTATTGGTATCACATCAGCAGCATTTCTAGATTATCCTTGCCGTTCTGTCCCCAAAAGGCATGGACGTGTATTAAAGAGGATTGCTTTTTTTTTTTATCTCCCTGCTTAGCCCCTGCACTCTGCCCTGTACCCTGAAAGTGATATAGCCTTGTGGCTTCATTGCCCATTCTAATCAGAAATCAAGAGAGGAGCCCAGCTGGCGTGGCTCAGTGGTTGAGCATCAACCTTTGAACCAGGAGGTTGTGGTTCCTGGTCAGGGCACATGCCCAGGTTTTGGGCTGGCTTGATCCCAGATCCCTGTGTGGGGCATGCAGGAGGCAGCTGATCAATGATTCTCTCTCATCATTGACATTTCAATCTCTCTCTCCCTCTCCCTTTTTCTCTGAAATCAATAAAAATATATTTTTAAAAAAATCAAGAGAGGAGAGCAAAGCAGTTGCTTTAACAAAAGTAGCTATGCTATCTGGTGAGAAACTAGTGGAGGAGAAAGGGGAAGCAAAAAGTTAGGCCTTGTGACCATCTGCGAGGAGGGCGGGGCCCTTTGAAGAGATATTCTTAAATCTGCTTCTCAAAGGAAATGAATAAAAGCCTGCTGAGAGCAGAGTTGCAATAACAAAGCCTCCTTTCCAGTTGTGCTGCTGGGGCACCATCAGGAGCACACACATTATAGCACCACCTTTGTGGGGGGTAGTGTGGGCTAGCTCCTGCTTGTTGGGCTAAAGGGTTTTCCTCTTATTTCCAGGAGGCACTCCAAGAACTCTGTCTGCCATTGATAGGGCTGGAGCAGAGGTGAAGAGTAGAACAACACTTTTCAGAAAGGTAATTGTCTGCTTTAGTGCTTTCGTTGTGTCAGTTTTGAAGAGGTAGCATAATCCTGCGGTCCCCAAGTACCCACCCAGGAACTGGGAAATTCGAGTTCTCTTTATGGCTCTTCTACTGACTGGTTATTTGGCCTTGAGCAAGTCACTTCCTCTCTCTGCACCTCAAATACCTCACTCAAGGGTTTTAAGCTCCTAGGAGAAAAATACATTTGGTGTTTTTTATTGCTTCCTATCATTCCTTCCAGCAGCCCTTCCATAGTTGTTTTTTTCCTGATGCATTTGAGTCATTGGAACTCCTTAGAGCTTCTTGGCATTTTTCATTGCAAGTTCAATAGTGGAGACTTTGGAGAGAAAGGTTCAGAGTACCTAAGTGAAGAAGACAAGGGGGTTTGCTTCTTATCACTGTGCTTTGCTTTATGAAAACTGCTGAAAATTTCCAGCCACTTCTATGGATATTTGAAAGATTTGTACTGTCCTTGAA